CACTGGAAATTTTACCAAATTATTAATTATTCATGAGCATATACGACTGATGCATGCAGGTTCACAATTAACTTTAGCATCTATTCGAAATAAATTCTGGCCAATAAATGGACGCAACATAGTTCAAAAGTATATACGTTCTTGTTCAAATTTTATTGGTGCAGCAAGAGAACTACGCGATACAATAAAACAGATTCAAAAATATTCTAAATTCACAGAATACTTGTGTGTCAATAATATTGTTTGGCATTTTTCCCCTCCATATGGTCCTAATCATGGTGGTCTATGGGAAGCTTGCATGAAATCGGCTAAATTTCATCTTAAACGTATTTTAGGAAATGCTCATTTAACTTACGAAAGCTTATACACAGTTATTGTTCAAATTGAAGCTATTCTTAACTCTCGACCTCTTCTTCCGTTATCAAACGATCCTAATGATTTTTTCATTTTAACCCCCTCTCACTTCCTTATTGGAGAACCCCTTACTGCACTGCCTCAAAATGATGTTCGAGAAATTGTTCAAAATCGTCTATCCTTGTATCAGCGTCTCCAGCCAGCAAGTTCAACACTTTTGGAAAGTTTGGTCTCAACAGTACTTATGTACGCTTCAAGAACGCTCTAAATGGCAGAAACAGTTTCCAAACGTGAAAATGAATTCATTGGTTTTGCTGAAGGACGAATCGCCTCCACTCAACTGGAAATTGGGCCGAATAGTGGAAGTTTTTCCTGGAGAAGACGGCATAATTCGCGTGGTGAATGTTAAAACTATAAATGGAATTTTCAAAAGGCCAGTATCAAGAGTTTGTCCGCTGCCTTTAGAAGATTAATGTTTAAGTGTTTAATTTTTGTTGAAAGACAAGCCTTTCAAGGGGGGCGGTATATGTTTGAACTCTCCATAAAACCTATGTTTTTAATTTTAAAATCACATCTCATTTTGTTCATTTTTTGTTTTATGTATCATGGAAACAACAATTATTATTATTGTCAATTGAGTCAAAAAAAATAAATAAAAAAGCACAAAAATCATCTTCTCAAACAAATTATTTTATCTATTCAAGAATCATACAAATACGTATTGTAGAAACGCCTACAATACAACACATATCTCGAAAACTACTCGATGTACCCCCCTTTTTTTTTTGCACGTAAACTATAAGGGCAACATGGACTACAAAAAATTCAGACATTTTGACCGAAACCGATTTTCTGTGTATTTAGTGCGTCGTACTTTCATCTATTATTCTAGTTATAAATCTGTTTCTAATTAATATCACATGTTTATTGAAGGTTACAATTTTGAAGATAAAACCAATAGGCGGTTACACACGGACGTGGATGTCTTGATACATATACGTGCATACATTAACGTGCAAACAACAACGTGCATGTCGCGTTTGTACAGACGCTCGCACAAAACTGCAGTCTTGCTATTCTTGCTACAGTAATCCGAGTGTGCATACAAAATTTCTAGCAATTCCACATTCAAAAACGCGACGATATGTTTTTGTTTGCGCGTTCATGTATGTACGTACATGTTTTCAGACATCCACGTCCGTGTGTAACCGCCTAATGAGGCTAAAAAAAAAAGAACATTAAAAAATACCTATGCAAAAAAAATTAATAATATCAAATAAAATCAAATAAATAGGAACCCGGTAATGGAACGACATGGAACGGTTACTGGTTATTGAGTTTGGCTTTGAGTTGTAACAGAAGCAATAGGACCATCTTCAATCGAGGAATTGGTCTAAGAAAGACAATTCAAAATTCAATATTTCAAATTTGCAATATAAGCAGTTCTGATCTTAACCCAAATGAGGATGTCTGGGGGACATGATCTATCGCTAAAAAGTTCAAATACTCCTCCGCAGAATAGCGGAGGCAAAGACGTGCTTAATAAGTTGGTTCTTTACGGAATTTGGTTATATCGGAGATATTTATAGGCAATGGATAGAGGTCCGAAAATTCGGATCTCTAGTGTTCATACTAAAGATTCGATAATTTTCGGATTTCCAATTTGTATATTAGGGGTCCGAAAATGCGGATCTTTAGTGGTAATATTGAAGATCCGAAAATAGATGTTTATTTCTAATTCTGTCTAATTAAGGAGTATCGTCGCAAGTATCTACAAAGAATAATATTTGAGATAAGTCTGTTTCTGCAGAAATCACAAACCAGTCAGAGTGAATTTCATTGGTTGATACTAGTTTTCTGACTGTTTTCAACCAATGAAATTTGCTCTGACTAATTCGTGATTTCTGCAGAAACAGACTTATCTTGAATATTACCTATTCTTTGTAGATATTTGCGACACCATTTTAATGAAACTAGCCCAAGAACCAAATACTACTGCACAAAACCAATTAGAAGAAAAAATAAAAGGTATTAAATTTTCTTTGAAACCCATAAAGGAAGACCCAAAGGACATGCTGCAATTGGACTAAAAAGGTCTAAGAAAAATAAAATGAAGTTCCTAAACTGAGGCACCAGATAATGCTTAATGCAGTTTTAAATACAGATGATTTGGTAAGCAAAGCATTACATAAAAACTTTAAAAATGAGAAATAAAACATTCCTCATCATCAACAAATTGATCCACTTCTTCTTGAAAAAGAAATATCTTTAGCAGAAATAGAAACATATTTTTATCTGGATTCTTATGTTTTATTACAAAAACGAATTGGAGAAAAACAAAATAGTATTTTAAAATGGATTTGTGATATATGTTACAAAGTGATACATGAAGATTGCTTACGGTGTGATTCATGTCTTCCGTGTAAACATAAAGTGTGTTGTTTAGTAACAAAGCTGCCTTCTAGTAAGAAAGCCTGGTTTTGCATGCAGTGCAGAAGGAACTAAATCACACCTCACACCTCTTACCCTATCAACCCTTAAAATGAAGAAATATTTATTTTTAATTATGTAATGTTTTTAAAAAATAAAAAGGTACTTAGTTTTGTTTTTTGTACTTTTCTGTTTGAAATTGCACCAACCAAATATTTTCGAGTAAACAAGCATTTTATCAATTTTATTGAAATGGTATAATATTCCTTAATTACGACAGAATTAGAAATAAACATCTATTTTCGGATCTTCAATAATACCACTGAAGATCCGCATTTTCGGACCCCTAATATACAAATTGAAAATCCGAGAATTACCGGAACTTTAGTATGAACAAAACTTGACTTGAGCCTGCAAATGCGTGCATATATCTGAATTATTATAAAAGTCTGTATTTTTCAATTTCGCAAAAATATACAGCTGACGAGACGATTACGAAACAGACACATCGTTTGTTATTTTGCATTCTGTTGAAGAAAATATTATTGACTCCAAAAGTTATTGGAATACAAATAACCCAAATAAGCAAAGTAATTTTTGTTATCATAATTGAATTAAAACTAAATTTTAGAAGCGCTCTGAATGATTCTCTAAATGCAATCTTATTGGTTGAAGAATGGGAAGCCGAATTTGGACTAAAAAGCTTCCTGAAAAACAAGCTAATAGCGAGAATTAGGTATAAAAGCTAGAACAAACACCTCAGTCAGGTCTCCAACCTATCTACATCTAATATTAATCTACTTTCTCCTGCAGTCTTCTCTAAATTAAATTGAAATTTTAGGCTAGTGAAGTGCAGATTAATAGAAATCTAAAGAACGCTGTTCTCTGCATGTCTTAACCAGTAATTATACAGATACCTTGAGTAAAAAAACTTACACTCAAAAATAATAAAACAAGGGCACTTACCTTCTCACAAACGACGATATGGTCATTTTGATCTCTTCTGAAACAACAGTAGATCTAATGAAATTATCGCAGTAACAGTGCACCGTAATTGGTAAAAGTGAAAATAATAAATTAAAGAAAACGTTGCATGAAAATTATGTTTACTGAGTGTATCCTAAAATTTACAATGTATTCCTAACATCACAGTTCATAATCTTTGTCCTGCATGTTGATTTTTTAAATTATTTAATGTTAGAAAGAATTAAAATTTTCCCATACGAAAATTATTTATGATTTAATAACAATTAAATAAGTATTTGTCAGGTATTAAAAGAGCTAATGAGAACTTGAGAATCATATACTTGTTTCCTGAATTTGAAATATTGAAATTATATTTGTTATAACTTGAAATAAATTACAAAAGTGTCAACACCCTAATGTTTAATAAACACGTTTATCGGTTGCGTTAATCATTCAAAACCTGTAGATTATTAGTTCAAAAAACATATTATACTGGCTAGTAAAGTAAGATAATGAAAGAACTTACCAATAATAAAAAAATATAACACTGAGAAAAAAACTGGAGCTCTTTACAGGTTTCACAAGTCGAGTAATTGTTTCTTAGAGTTCCAACACACAATTTATTGATTCGATGTCTGTATATGACTTAATCAGAAATTTAATCAAGAGTAAACACAACACACGTCCAAGCTCTTGCAGAGAGCCTTTTATTAACGTTGATTCCTCGTAAACAAGCGTTGATGAAATCCCTATTTTGTTGTACATATATGTTTAGGAAAATGAGATAAAAATAATTTTGGGTGAAAACCGTTTTGGTTTCGATCAATATTTTCTATTTAATATGTTGTTTATGCTTATTATCTCCTAATTGGTTGTTAGTGAATATGCATTTGTTTGTTTTAAAGGAATTTAACGGTTGATGAAGGTTACCAATATCTAATATAAGTAGAATAAATAATAGAAGACAGTTTGATATTTTCCAGAGATACTTATTGCATAAAATAATGGAATTTTATTGAAAAGTAAATTACAAGAATATTTTATTTGTGTGCCTAGAATAGAAAAAAAACTATTTATTAACAATATAATGTTATAATATTTATCACAAAGAAAAAGAATTGGGAAATTTTGTTAGATAATAAGGTTTGTTTGTTGTTTGTTTATTAAAATTGTGTAGATTCTTAAGCAAATAAATACAATTTATTTCTAAATATTATTGAGCCAGCAGATAGCGTCATAACTGCAACATATTAGCTGCTCACGTACAAATTATTACTGAAATGATTATTATTACCTACTAGATCCCATTGTTCCACCTAAATAAATAAAACATATATTAAAATTAATACTTCCTCTAACTCAAAGTTTAGCTGCTATCTTTTAATACTTTTCTTCCCATGGATAGAGGAGTGAAAGTACTTTTACTAGGAGGTGGATTTAACTTGCTTGTAATATAGACAAATGGTTCGTAAAGGCTGGACCTTTGCATTGCCGAAGCTGTAAAATGCCTCAATTTTTCCCTATTACACCAATCGGTTGCTTTATTGATAACCGATTGGCTCTCAGCGCTGTCAGTTTCTTTTGTCTTATTGCCTATAACTATTATAGTGACCTAGAAATATAATACTAATACTGAAATGTTTTACTAAAATAATAATTACCTATTCTTTTACCTCTTTTTTGTCCTTATTTTTATCGACATCTTTTTTAATAGACATTAGTACATCTACTGAATTAATTTTATCGGTATCATAGACTAAAACGTATCCGTCAGCTAATACTAAATAGTGCCTTAGGAGCTGCTGGCCCGTGGTTCCATTAGCTGTAGCTGTTTGGGAATATTCGATGCCTGCGGTGTCATAGAAACGTACTTTTTCTCTAGCTCCTTTGTCCGATTCTATGTTGGCAACGTAGATGTCTTCGATTGTAGGATGAAGCTCCTTGAAGAAAGAAGAAAATTTGTGTGAGAAATAGTACTACATATTTTATTTTCATGCAAGGAAATCAGCCTTAGCTCAGTCAATGCTTGAATAACATGAGTGAGCTTAATTTGTATGGGTGAGTTAACTCAGGAAATAAAGCAATATTTCTGAATATCTGAATCTGTACAAATTATCAAAAATAAACTGCCGGCTAGATAAAATCCTAATTTGAAAAGGGAATGAATCGCATCTTTGTCAGCGAAATAAGTAAATAATCATAGATTTTCAAACGTGCTATTGAGAGTCATAACCAAGAACCTGTCTGTTATTTCAAGTGTGATTCACATATACTTTGGATCTGACTATTTCTCTTCAGGTCTGCTAATCTGATAAGTGATAATCAACTAGATGCCTAGCAATTTCTCATCAATTTGAATCAAGAATCTCTGGAATAGGGCCGCAAGTGACCCAGCCAAGAACTCAAAGTTTTTTACCAAGTTTGGAAATGGAGGCCACCATCTATCTGGTCTAGATGACTTTGTGGAATCCAGATTTTTCAGTAATACATTTGATATCGGTCTTGAGTAAAATGATGGTGATGCCATGAAAACTTAAATTCCAACGGCAGAATGATGTTGATATTAACAGAACCCTGGGTAGGTAAAGGCTGAAAATGGACAGCAATGCATTGGCAATGTCATCAGCAGCTCGATCGAAGATATCAGGTTCCAAGTTTTATAGAGCCAGGAGCCAGGGGCAGGGATATCATTTTTTGATATAAGTACGTATAGTGTTTGACATTAGAGGTAGAGATAAATATAAAGATTCAGTACTATTATAGACAATACAATTTTATTTCAACTCATTATAGAAGCTGCTCTCTTCTTACAAGACCTAGAGCACGAGGCTATATGGGTCATACAGTATAGTGTATGTTAAATCTACAATATATCTATATTGACTTTGATTATATAAAATTTAAAGAAGGAGCAAGAGAAAAAAAATATAGTGAGAAAACAGTAAATACACCTATCAATTGTAATGAAAACAAAAGAAAAGAAAAGTAATAAACAATAAATAAATATAGGCATTAGGGAATGTTTCTTTTTTGTCATGCTATTTGTGTAGAGAAAAATTATTGAAGATTTTTTCTTTGAGTCTTAATTGAAAGGGCCTTATTCTGCGACATTTCTTTACATCTTGTGGAATCTTGTTGTAGATGTTCAAGCCTTTTGACATCATGCTACGTTGTCCACTAGTGGTTGTTGTCTTGTAGCTTCTGTCCTCAATGTTTGGTTGTTACGAGTGTTGTATTTGTGGATTTGGTTACCAGTATAATAAGGGTGATATTGGAATGAATGTTTGATATTTCAATGTTGTGGATAAATGTGCACGTTTGAAAAATATACAATGTCTATAATTTTATTGGGATTGTATAGTTCTGCAGTTGGGAGCAATGTGGGCAAATGAAAAAGTTTCTTGAGGGCTTTGTTCTGAAGTACTTTTAGGGGTTTCAGGTAGTTGGCAGTTGCATTTGCCAAGATAATCGTTAGATTTATGAGAGATGGCAGTGGATAAGTGAATGATAGATCATTTTATGATGGGGGGACACAGGAACCTTGACACCCTACTCAGTATTCCTATCACATAGGAAATTTTTTGACATATTTTCAATCGAGTTTTCAATATATGAGACTCCCATGTGAGTTTATGATTAATGAGCAATCCAAGCACTTTTATGCATTCTCCTTTTTTAAAACTTGTATTCAACCTGGACCAGTATTATATTTCGGCAGTTGATATTGTGTAAGATAGTCATGTAGGTAGCTGCATTTGTTGATGTTTAGTGAAAGTTTGTGGTAGCAAAGAGAGTTGTGGATTTTTGTTAGGCCTTCTTTTATAGTCGACTGTGTGATCGATCCCAGAGTACAGAAGACATGACGTATCGTCAGCATATAGGCATAGCTTGGAGCTTAGGTCGACTTTAGAGTGGGAGTTCATATGAACAACACTTAGTCAGATTGCAATCAAATTAACAAAACTTTGGATAGTATTGGGAAATCACATATGTACGTATAAGTTATACAAGATGGGTACCTATTTAGTGATAAAATGAATAAGCGGCCTCTTATATATATTTTTTTTATTTGAGTCTCTATAACTAGTTCATTTCCTACTTGGAATTTTGTTAGAAATTAGAAATCTATTGTGGTTGGTGTTACCTATGTTTGTTGTTTCTTTAGAAGTAAGTAGGTCATTGCAATTTTAATTTTGTCACTACCCACCCAATAAAAAAAAAATAGATAAATAAATCAAGAAAATTTACACTCCTGTCCTGGCGGTTCTACTATGGGGGATAGAGCCAGTCATCAGGTACAATCTACAACACTTTAGGAAAAGGCTTCATCTTAAGACTTGAGTTACTCTGACGTCTGAAGTCTCCTATCCCTTTTAAAGGTCGTAGAGATATTTCTGTTTTTTGAAATTAATTGGAGACGATGGAAAACTTTTAGCAGGATTCCTGTTCCCAAAAATATGACTTTCAGTTCAAAATGCCTTCCTTACTTAACAACAAATCCGAAAAGTATTGTCACAGATTCCGGGTTCACTAAAACTCACTTCACAAACCAACTTTTATTGAACTAGGTATATAATTGACTTATCATCGCTTTTAAAAATGTGCACGCAAAATCTAACATTTGAACTTAACTGCAACACTCTTATTTAGACTGTTCAAAACTAAGCTCTGATTTATTTTAAACTCAAAACTTACTATTACGTGCTATTTATAGTGGAAATCGCACTCCATATCTATTTAGAAAAACATGTTTATCGAATATGATAGAATTTTTCGAAAAGACGTGCTCTCAGACGTGAACAACAAGTTTCCTAGAATTCGGTCAGGTTCTCAATTTCGTAACAGAATTTTAGCTGAAATCCAGTACCTATCGAGGTACTTATACTACTCGAATAAGTCTCTGAAATCTCACACAATGACAATGCCCCAGCAGAAGATGATTCCAAAGATATTGTCCCGGTGGCGCCTTCGCCAAACAGTACAGAATCTAAGTTGAATCTAGAAAATACTTCTTCATTTGGGCAAAGAGATTATTGGTTTTATTCTGGATTTTTCAAGAATGGATTACAGATATATAAAGGCCTGTATTAGTTAGTGGTTTTAGTTTTAAGATTGACTGTGATACGATTTAGATAGTGAATTTTGTAAGAGTTGTGAAAAGTTGAGTTGTGTAAGTTAATTATGGCCGTTTCCACCGACAATTTTAAGGGAGGCTTAACGATAAGTATTCCTTAAAGTGACATTTTTACATGTAGGAATGTCATTTTAAGTTATACTTATCGTTAAGCCTCCCTTAAAATTGTCGGTGGAAACGGCCATTAGTGAAGTAATTAGTGTCAGGGTGTTTAGTAATGTGGAATAAATTACTTATTGTTGTGTTAATTGGACTTTGATTTTTAGAATAAACGGACCCAAGTAAGCCAGAGCCGTGACAATATTACCTATTTCTACAAGTGCATTACAATGCAGAACTTTCTGCATTAGCAAAATAGACTGAGCATATGTCTTGCATTAGCAAAATAGACTGACCATATGTCTACAATGCTTAGGACCTACGAAATGGTAATGTAAGTAAATATTTGTGAAAAAAACGCGATGAATTAGGTAATGCATACAAATCACCAATAACTCAGATATGAAGATGTTTTTGGAAAACTAGTCCAATATCAATTGGAGTGGCTGGACAACAAGCTCAATTTGCTAGTTTTATGCTCAGAGTAGAGGAAAACTATATCACTACCTATACAAGTTAACTTGCAGTTTTATTTCAGTTTATTTATTTATTTATTGGTAATAAATTGCACATAGGTGCTTTTAGAAGTCAGAAACTGTGAAGTACTACTCAAAATAGAGTTCTTCGAGGGGGAAACCACCTACCTAATTTTGTACACCAAAAATTCTAAAATTCTGAAAAATGCTAATTTTCAAGTTTATTGTCCCAAAAAATTCTAAAAATTCTAAAAAATTCTAAAAAATTCTAAATAATCCCAACAAATTGGGCAGGCTCTTGAGCGTGCGCAATAGATAAAAATTCTAAATTATTTCTAAAAAATTCTAGTTCAATTCTAAAAAACACTGAATAATTCTAGAAATTGCTAAAAATTACTAAAAAATGCAAAAAAAATACTGATAATTCTGAAAAATTCTAAAAATTCTATCAGTTTGTACAGGGTGATCTATTATAAATATCGACCCTGCTAACTTTATCATTTAACGTTTTTGACGGAAGTGTCAACTGTCAAATACAAAAGTTTTAAGAAATTATCAATTTTTTTTAACTAAGTTAATTTTTGGGCATACAGGGTGCGTCAAAAAAGTGCAGCAGTGTGAAGTTATATTTTTTTAAATGGAAAACCCTGTATATTGTACGCTTATTTGTTAGTCCCCTTACCAGTTCCAGCACCATACTAGATAATATGATTTCTACGATATACGGTTTGATATGTTTATCTCTCTGTTTATCTTCAATAGTTATAGGGAAAAACCACTGCAAAAACGCGAAAATCCCTTGCTAGTTCTCTCATGTTATTTTTTCAAAAATAATAATAACTGGATTTATTATAATATAATATTTGACCTTGTATATTAATGAATAAAATTTGAACAATAAACTGTTCATAAAAAAAATTCTCTAAAGCTTAAATGGTATAATTTTTCTTTTTACAATATGAAACCTTGAAAGGAGTTTTCATGTTTTTCCTTATAAATATCGGAGATAAACATCAAATCGTATATCGTTGAAATCATGTTAAAAGACTAACCAATAAGCGCACAATATGCAGGGTGTACCATTTAAAAAAATATAACTTCATACTGCTACACTTTTTTGACACACCCTGTATGTTTAAAACTTTCGACAATTTATTGAAACTTTTGTATTTGACACTTTTGTCAAAAATGTCAAATGAAAAAGTTAGAAGGGGGTGACATTTATAATAGA